GAATGAATGAACTGGGGAACAACGGTAATAAACTCCAGGGCTGTTATCCCAATAGGAAAGTGGGTTCCACAGCAGCTACCCTAATGCAGAAGCAATGCGGTTCCTCTTAAGAACGGAGAAGGCTGGGGCCGGCAGATGGCGTAATGGTGACGTCGCTGGACTCCCAAGTAGCTGACCGTGGTTTGAGTCCTGGCTGCTTAAAACTCACACCTCCGGGCGTGTGTGTGTGGATGCCCAAAATCCTGAGAGGAGAATAAAGGAGAAGGGATTGTGGTGTGGCCATCCCCCTGGGAGGTGACTTTCAGCTTTCTGTCTGTTTCTTTGGTGAGCATGAGTGTCCTATAGTGAAAATCTCTTTTAAAAAATGGAGAAAAATGACTCTCCTTGTATTTAGTTTATTCCTGCTTTGTTCTGTGCATATATAGTCAGGAATGGTGGTGAGGCCGGGAGATGGGACCTCGAAGGAGTAGGGCACTCGCTCTATACCTGCTCATTGCTGGCTTTTGACCCAGATGAACATATTGCCTATAGATGTTTAGGGGCCGGTTTAGGGGGCCAGATCCCATGTGGCCAACTGAACAGTCAAGTCCTGGCCCTGGTGGCTTGGCAGACGTGCCAGGTATGTATGTGTGCCTAAAATCCTGACAGGGGACAGGATGGAGAAATGGACGAAAAGGGATTGTAGTGTGGCCATGCCCTGTTGTGGGGTACTTTACCCTTCTCCCTCTTTGAAAAATGCATGCATACTCTGACCAAGAATAATAATAAAGTGAAGTAATAGTTTATTTTTGAGGGATTTTTGCTATAGGGTGCATGCACTCACCAGAGAGCCAGAGAGACAAAGTGATAAATCGCCCTCCCAGCGTGGATGGCCATGTCTCAATGCCTTCTCCATTCTCGTAGGATTTGGGGCACAAATGCCCCCAGCGTGAGTTTCAAGTCACTAGGTCTGGGACTCAAACCGTGATTAATTATGTGGGGGTCCATCACCTTAACCGCGATGCCACCTGTTGTCCCTAATAAGGGCTTAAAAGTAGGAAACGAGTGTTCTCGAGGAGCAAATATTCCAGGCAGCTGGCGGGATATAAAGGCATCGAAAGGTTGATGTGCTTCATGGAAGGGGCTGCTACGGCCCCAGGAAGGTGGAGGGTGCCCGGGGTTAGGGCGAGCAGGGCAGGGAGGTGTGCAGCAGATGGGGAGCAGGACAGGAAGCAGCACACTTGCCTGTGGCTTAGCCCCTTCAGCACACGCAGATCAGACAATTCTAGAAACCCCCACCCCAATTCCTTGCCTGCATGCTCTGGCCAACCCTCTTTACACCCCTCCAAGTGGCTGTGTGTGTGTGTGTGTGTGTGGTGTCTGCTATAGGGCACATGTGCTTGCCAGAGAGATAGACAGAAAGCGAGAAATCACCCCCCCCGGGGGTGGGGATGACCACACCACAATCCCTTTTCCTCCATTCTCCTCTCGGGATCTTGGGCAAGCATGCACACATGCCCGGCTTGAGCTTAAGCCACCGGGTCTGGGACTTGAACCACGGTCGACTACATGAGAGTCCAGCGACACAGCCATTACGCCAACTGCTGGTCCCATGTGTGTATTTTTTTAAGAAAGATTCTTTTTAAAAAATTAAGTATTCATTTTCTTCCATGAGTGAGAGACAGAGACAGATAGCATCCCTAACAGGGTATTGACACTGATCCACTCCTGGCTTCACCCAGCCCTGGATCTGGGCTACACTGTACTTGCCCACTGTAGTCAGGAGGGTCTCCAGGTGCAAACTCACCTGAGCCTTCTCACGTGAGTCAGCCTCGCAGAAGTGTCACAGTTTTACCCCTGCACTACCATCTAGCCCCTAAATACACATATTTTATTAGGAAAAATAAAACTGTTTTGGTGTGTGTGTGGGGGAGCGGTAATCCCCTCAGGAACTCACTGAAAAACTTTTAGAATCTATTTTAAAAAATAGTGGGACACATGATAATGGGATGAATGTTTAAAAATCAGTAACTTTTTGCAGGACTGATACGGAGAAAAACTAATAAGACTTAACTGGAAAGTTGTTTTCTGTGTAACTGTATAAGACAGCATCTGCTGTAAGTTTTTCCTAGACTCATTTACAAGTTTAATTTCAGTCAAAATCTCAAAGGACATTTTTTAGAGACAGATTTTTGCTATAGGGCGCATGCTCTCACCAGAGAGAGAAATTACCCCTTGGGGGGATGACCTCATTGCAGTCCCTTCTCTTCCATTCTCCGTTTGGGATTTTGGGCACACACACACACGTGCTCCAGCATGAGTTTTTAAGCTGCTGGGTCCAGGAATTGAACCACGATCAACTACGTGGGAGTCCAGCAACGTAACCATTACACCATCTGCTGGTCCCAGATTTTTCTTTTTCAAAAACTGAGAAAGAGGGCGGTGCAATATCTAGAAAGAGTGATTTATAACTAATGTTAAATAGTGAAGAAACTTTTAAAAATATAATGAGCAGATGTTTGTCAATACAAAGAAAATTATTACTGTCTTAAGACATTGTAGTTCCAACAGGTAGACCAATGAAATAGAAGCAGACCTTGATACGTGTAAGAATCACTAATCATTAATCAGTGAAGGAAGAGTTTACTGTTAGAATAGTTAACCATCTGAAACAAAGGAAAGTTGAAATTCCCTCTAAATTTATGCCAAAATAAATTCTAGAAGAATTAAAGTTCAATAGGAATTAAAAAAGTTAAAATAGCATAAGAAACTAGGAGAAATGTTAGTAAATATGTATTTAGAGAAACATGGGAAGGAGTTTATAAGCATAGAAACAGTGAAAGAAATGACACAGGAAAAAGTGGGTCTTTTTTTTTTTTTAAAGTTTGTTTATTGCACAAGAGAGACAGGCACTTCCATCAGGGTGTTCACACCAGGATCTACCCCAAGCCTCAGCCATTTGTATCATGGGTACGGCATGACTAGAGAAATCACGGGATGCAAACCCAGGAATATCTGGATCCAGTTCCATTACCACTGTGCCACTGTCTGGTCCTGAAGGTGTATTATTATATTATTAAATTTTTTAGGTTTTTGCCATAGGGTACATGTGCCAACTGGAGAAGGACAGATAGAAGGAAAATAACACAACATCCCCTCAGGGAGGGTGGTCATGCTGCAGTTCCTTCTTCTCCATTCTCCTCTTAGGTTTTGGGCATGCATGCACACGTGCCTGTGTGATTTTCAAGTTCCTGGACCTGGGGCTTGAACTGCTGTTGGACATGTGGGAATCCAGCACCTTAACCACAACATCACCTGCTGGCTCCAGGTATATTACTCATAACATGTAAGAGTTGAAAACTGGGCCAGACCCGTGGAACAGTGGTTAAGGGAGCTGAATCCCACATGGTCATCCACAGTTCAAATCCTTACTTCAGCAGCTTGAAAAACGTGTGCATGTTCCTAAAATCTGAACAGGATGGAGAAATGAAGGAGAAGGGATTGCATTATGGCCATGACTCATTGAGGGATGCCTTCTCCCACTGTTATGTTTCTGTCTCTGGGAAGCACGTGTGCTCTCTGGCAATAAAAAAAAAATTTTTTTTTTGAAGTTGAAAACTTCTACAGTAAAAGGGACTGCAAATATTATTAAGAGACAAATTAAAAAATTATTTCCATCAGAATATATGTCCACATGCATGCATGCACATGCACACACATACACACTTGCACTCTGTGGGAGAGCAGGGAAGAAACTTAACACTAGCCACTGCTTAGTGACTAACCATTTTGGTATAACTATTGAGTCATTGGAAAAGTCATGACATATTTTTCTATGCAAAAATGTGTCATGACTTTCCTAGTGACTCAATATTTCTCAGAAAAATGCATGTGTTGTATATGCACACATGTCTGTAACTTCCTGAACAATTTTAGGAGACTTCTATATTTATTAGAGTTTTACCGACCACAGAAGAAATGCTTAGTAAATATGAATAAACTTCAGCCCTCCCTATTAATCAAAGGAATCAAACATTTTTTTAAAATGATAATATCAGATATTGGCAAAAATATTGCTAATGGGATATAAATTAGCAAAATGTCCCGAAAAACTATTTGACATTTAAGTTGTCAGAAGTAAAGTTTTTTCCCTAGGAATTATTTAAGAAAACATCAGAATATCAGACAGATATATGTAGCAATGATTATTATGTACTCAAATATTTATTATTATTTATGGTGGCAAAAAATTGGAAGCAGTCTAAATACTCAACCTTAGTATAATGGTTACTCTAACTTATAGCCACATAAAAGGATGTCAAGGAGCCATATATATATAATGTTTTAAAAGATTAGTGATATGATAAAACAATTTCAAGTATTATTAAAAAATAAAAGGATACCCTGAGATCTCTTTTTAAAAATTACATCTAGGTGATGGGGTTACCAATGTTTTATTTATTTATGTATTTATTTTAGGGCATGTGCACTTGCTGGAGAGAGAGAGGCAGCAAGAGAGAAAGTAAGAAATCACACACACACACACACACACCCCCGGAGGTGGGGGATGGCCACACTGCAGTCCCTTCTCCATTCTCTTCTTGGGATCTTGGGTATGCACCAGGTCTGGGACTCGAATTGTGGTCCACCATCTGGGAGTCCAGCAACGTAACCGCTACGCCATCTGCTCACCCCACTAGTGGTTTTTAATTTCTTTATTAGTTTTTGTAAGGAATGAATGAACTGGGGAACAACGGTAATAAACTCCAGGGCTGTTATCCCAATAGGAAAGTGGGTTCCACAGCAGCTACCCTAATGCAGAAGCAATGCGGTTCCTCTTAAGAACGGAGAAGGCTGGGGCCGGCAGATGGCGTAATGGTGACGTCGCTGGACTCCCAAGTAGCTGACCGTGGTTTGAGTCCTGGCTGCTTAAAACTCACACCTCCGGGCGTGTGTGTGTGGATGCCCAAAATCCTGAGAGGAGAATAAAGGAGAAGGGATTGTGGTGTGGCCATCCCCCTGGGAGGTGACTTTCAGCTTTCTGTCTGTTTCTTTGGTGAGCATGAGTGTCCTATAGTGAAAATCTCTTTTAAAAAATGGAGAAAAATGACTCTCCTTGTATTTAGTTTATTCCTGCTTTGTTCTGTGCATATATAGTCAGGAATGGTGGTGAGGCCGGGAGATGGGACCTCGAAGGAGTAGGGCACTCGCTCTATACCTGCTCATAGCTGGCTTTTGACCCAGATGAACATATTGCCTATAGATGTTTAGGGGCCGGTTTAGGGGGCCAGATCCCATGTGGCCAACTGAACAGTCAAGTCCTGGCCCTGGTGGCTTGGCAGACGTGCCAGGTATGTATGTGTGCCTAAAATCCTGACAGGGGACAGGATGGAGAAATGGACGAAAAGGGATTGTAGTGTGGCCATGCCCTGTTGTGGGGTACTTTACCCTTCTCCCTCTTTGAAAAATGCATGCATACTCTGACCAAGAATAATAATAAAGTGAAGTAATAGTTTATTTTTGAGGGATTTTTGCTATAGGGTGCATGCACTCACCAGAGAGCCAGAGAGACAAAGTGATAAATCGCCCTCCCAGCGTGGATGGCCATGTCTCAATGCCTTCTCCATTCTCGTAGGATTTGGGGCACAAATGCCCCCAGCGTGAGTTTCAAGTCACTAGGTCTGGGACTCAAACCGTGATTAATTATGTGGGGGTCCATCACCTTAACCGCGATGCCACCTGTTGTCCCTAATAAGGGCTTAAAAGTAGGAAACGAGTGTTCTCGAGGAGCAAATATTCCAGGCAGCTGGCGGGATATAAAGGCATCGAAAGGTTGATGTGCTTCATGGAAGGGGCTGCTACGGCCCCAGGAAGGTGGAGGGTGCCCGGGGTTAGGGCGAGCAGGGCAGGGAGGTGTGCAGCAGATGGGGAGCAGGACAGGAAGCAGCACACTTGCCTGTGGCTTAGCCCCTTCAGCACACGCAGATCAGACAATTCTAGAAACCCCCACCCCAATTCCTTGCCTGCATGCTCTGGCCAACCCTCTTTACACCCCTCCAAGTGGCTGTGTGTGTGTGTGTGTGTGTGGTTTCTGCTATAGGGCACATGTGCTTGCCAGAGAGATAGACAGAAAGCGAGAAATCACCCCCCCCGGGGGTGGGGATGACCACACCACAATCCCTTTTCCTCCATTCTCCTCTCGGGATCTTGGGCAAGCATGCACACATGCCCGGCTTGAGCTTAAGCCACCGGGTCTGGGACTTGAACCACGGTCGACTACATGAGAGTCCAGCGACACAGCCATTACGCCAACTGCTGGTCCCATGTGTGTGTTTTAAGGCTTTGAGATCAACTTCATCAAGTCTCGGAGCAGCAACATGTTGTCACCCTATGACTACTCATCGGTGATGCACTATGGGAGGTGAGGACCCCTTTTCCTTTCCCTCCCTTCTCCTCCCTGCTGCCCTCTATTCCTGGCTGGGATCTGGACTCGGGACCCTTCCTGCTGGTTCTAGGCTTGCCTTCAGCCGGCGTGGGCTGCCCACAATCATACCGCTCTGGGCTCCGAGTGTCCACATTGGCCAGAGATGGAACCTGAGTGCCTCGGATATCACACGGATCCTCCGGCTCTACGACTGCAGTCCAAGTGGCCCTGGCTCCCGAGGGAGAGGTAAGTGACAGGGCAAGGGTGACTTGAGGAATCTGAAGGCGCCTGTGTGGAAGCGTGGTCAGAGAGAGAGAGTGAAGTACTTAGACCTGAGGTTGCAGAGATGAGCAAGGCCGCATCACCACAATCAATGTAGGAAAAGTCTTTGAAAACATTAATGCTCACTTATAACTTAAAAACTCTTGGCAGTTAGGAGTAGAATTCACTTAATTCTGTTAATAGAGCTACCAAAAAACCTAGAGCAAAAATATTAGATGGTTGCGAGAAAGTCATGATATATTTTCCTAAGTTTTTCTGTGCAAAAACACTCATGACTTTCCTGATGACCCAATAATTTTTAAAGGCAAAACGTCAAAATTGGGATCAAAGGGCCAGCAAGTGGCATGGTGGTCGAGGAGCTGGACTCCCACATGGCTGACCATGGTTCGAGTTCCAGATTTGGGGGCTTTCTTTCTCATTTTCTCTCCCTCTCTCTATTAAAAATAATGACAAAATTGGGGCCAGGGAACCAGCAGTTAGCGTAATGGCTATGTCGCTGGACTCCCACGTAGTCCACCGCGGTTCGCATCCCGGACCTGGTGGCTTAAAACTCACGCCAGGTGCGTGTGCGTGCGTGCCCAAGATCCCGAGAGGAGAATGGAGAAGGGATTGCAGCGTGACCATCCCCCGGGGTGGTGATTTCTCGCTTTCTGTCTCTATGTCTCTGTCTGTCTGGCGAGTGCACGCGCCCTATAGCAAAAAAAAAAAAA